ATATGATCAGTTTATGGTGATTGTGAAGATTCCAAAAAGGAATCTTAAACAGATTTTATTATGAGTTAAATTCATTGTAAATATTGTGATGGGAAGGAAGGATATTTTGGCTAATTGTTGAGAAAACATATTGTGAAAGATTGGGCCATCGGAGGTGTCCTGTTGGGAGCGGTCTGCTAGACCAGTCTTTCACAAAAACCCCAGAGACCACTAAACAAAACTGTCAAAATAATAATACCTGGGTGTTTACATTGAGAAGTGTGGATTGTTCCTGGGCAGTCACCAAGGAAATAATTACTGTTGTGCTGACAGGTGGCCTTACTGCTCAACCCCTAGGATTAGCTAATGCCCGGATTCACCCAAAAAAAGCTCATCAAACTGGGGAAGAAAAACGTGCAATCAGGTCACCAGGAAGCATGACAGTATTTCCTAAGCTTGATGGGTTCCCCACCTCTCCTCCCTGATTGATTCGCTTGATTGATCCCAAAAGAACTAGGAGTCAGTCAAGAGGGTAGGGTTGAAGAAGACCCAGTCAGAGTCTGAGAAAAGGACTGGTGTGGGTGTGGCAGCCTGCATAAAGAAGAGCCAATAAGAGTCAGAGAGGAGGAGTCAAGAAGCCGATGTAGGAGGTGGTTGTGTTGTCAGGGCGGCCATCGTGGCAGTAGGAGTTGGCGAGAAGTCAGTAGGAGTCGACATGGAATAGGCCAGGATTCAGCAAGGATTAGGCCAAGAATGGGAAAAAAGTTGGCCTGGAGAAGGCCAGAAATTGGCCAGAATATGACCAGGAGTCAGTAGAAGTCGACGAGGAGTTGAACAGGAAGGCCAGGAGTCAGCAGGATCGATGTCAGCATTCCAGTTCTGTAAGCACAAGATTTGTCAATCAGTTGGCGGGAGAATCGGAGAACATTTGGGGCAATTTTGAGGTTGCAGCCCAATTTTGAGCAGTATGTTCCTCAAGGACTTACTTAGGATAAGGATAGAGAGTTGTTAGAAGGCTTTGGTCAATTTATTTATATATTGGTGTATTTATTTAATTTATAAGTAGAGATAAAAATTATTTAAGAATTAGGGTGTGTAAATTATGAGTAGGAATAGGAACTTACAAGGCAATAAGTGATGGAACATGTCAGGAATTGTTTAATGAATTCAGCCTTATTAAATAAAGCGGCTTGAATGTTGTACTTTTTCTAAACCTCCCCCTATAGAGTTAGGGGAAAGTGGTGGGCGCTTACCCAAGGGGCAACTTGACATACCCTAGCCAAGGACTTGATGGGCCTAGAGTAGCTCGTGCTTGAGTTTGTGCTCGTTTGAGTCGCTCACCACAAAGATGCTTAATTGATTGATTGATTTATTATAAGCACAACTCTGTAAATACATGTACATACACATTTTACAGAATTAAGCCTATTTCGGATTTTAGCATCCTGGGGGTCAGACCTCGCCGTTATCTGTACCTATGTCGAAGTTAAGTTTCAGGGGTTGTTACCAGCCCCCAGCGCATGCAGTTTTGAAAGTTAGATGTACTCTCTTTCACATTCTCATTCACCCTTGAATACATGTCATCTACTCAAGTTAGACGTTGGGTACTCGGTATTCCAACATTGGCTCTCCCTCACACACATTGACACTAATAAATACATTCAATCCTAAGGTGATGATAATAAAATTAGAATAATAAACAAGTATTGTAATTTTGTAGTTTGCTGGTTTTATAGCTGCCTCTTAAATAGTCAATTATAAAAAAAATCAAAATCTTTCTACTTTTATGATATAATGATGATGTCTATTTGCCAGTGTTGGTCGATCGGTAGGCTTTGAACATTTGTTCATATTGCTAATCTTGGTCTTATTATTCTTTTTTATGTGATGGTCGGAAATGTTTTAACATGCATCATTTTCAGTAATGTGTGGTGATTAGTGACCGTTAATCGATATTTATTTAGAAATCGTGAGATGCGGTCTGGTGTGATGTAGGTTTCAGAAAAACATTTTCTTTATCGTGCCAA